CATCTTGTCGATAAAAGTACACTTTGAATGAATGAAAGTAAAACATATACAATTTACATGCCATTTACGTATGTTTTCGTAAGAGTGGTGAGAGTGGAAGATACGTAAATGCATGCACGAAATCTTTTAACGAAAATCGCAGGAAGGTTGTTCGAATTCACGCGCGCGCCCGGTAAAGAGCGAAGAACTTGCGCAGTCCATTAAAAAAAGGGGGTAAGTCCAACACAAACATTCTGCCCTCTGAGGGTTCAAGTTTTTTACAAGGTAATAATCTCTTCCGGGGACTCTTGGTGCGCCGTTGGCCCCATTTTGAATGAATCAGCGAGCATATTTGCCAGAGTTGATTCTGTGAAAATTGAATGTGCATACGTGTTTATTTGCAAATATGTAGATTCTGTTGACTGGCAGAAATTGAACTTTGTTCCTTTTTTGAATCCGGGAATCGACATTGCTAATGTTATGATTATTTGTAAATAAAGAACATTTTTACGTTTTCTGAAACAATGATACACACGTTTCCTTTAAATTTCGTATCAAAAAAAATCTTGTAGAAAATTTTGCATACACTGTGTATCTGTTTTTTTTTTCCATCTATTCACATTAAAAACAATTAATTATCAATACTGTATAATTTATCATTGTTTACAAATCATCTATCTCTGATTAATAATAATAAAATCACAACACAGCATATTGAAATTTTGGTTTGATAACTTGATATGGTCAATCCATGGTAACATTTAAAGATAATTAAAAATTTGGCTTGGTCACTTGATGCGATCAAACCACGATGCCATTTGAAAGATAATTGAGATATTAAAACAACAAATTCATCAAAAGAGTGAGCTGATATACTGTAATTGCATTATTTCATTTAAGTTTAGCTATTCCCATGTGGCTCACATGATTTATAAATTATCTTTTCTAGTGGTAACAAGATTTTCATAGAATAATGATAAGATCATGTTTATATTGTTATGCAAATGGTAATGAAAATGTATTTGTATAGCTAGTCAAAAAAAGATCAATTTAATCAATTAAAAAAAGTTAATCAAATACTTGAATAATAATAACATATTGATACTTGTATTATCAATAAAATTAATTTGATCAGGAGAAAAACCATCATATAAAAAACAATAATTTTAGTATTCATATTGTTATTCTAAAATCAATTTATGAAAATTAATTCATAAAATTAATTAATTGATGAATAAAAAAAATCAAATACGTATATATATTAAAAATGATCATAAATATTATATAATATTTTTACATTTTTATAAAAATTTTTAATATAAAAATTAAAATTTAAAAAAAAAACAAAAAAACTTTTTTGCCTATTTCCAACCACATTTTTTATATATAAAAATGAATAAAATTTTTTATTATAGATTTTTTATTATAAA